ATATCTTTATTTATTAATTAAAATTATTGATTGATACTACATATTATATTTATGACCAATAACAATAAGATAATCATAATTAATGTTGTTAAACGGCTCGATTTGAGCCGATTTTTAAAAACTGCTAACTCAATATTTTAGACAGAAAAATATTGCTTAAGCTTAGAGATTTCACTAATAAATGTCCAAATCTTTATGCCATCTAAACCTTTAGACTTGCGTAATATTTTTCTGATTAAAACATTGAGTTAGCCGTTTTTAAAATTCAGCTCGAATCGAGCCGTTTAACAACACTAATCATAATATTATGGAATGGATTTTATTTATAAAAAAATCTCTTATCAGATTGAAAGATATATTTAGTTTTTATTTTATAGCAAAAATTTGATGATTGTTGATAAAAAGCGCATGCTGAAAATTTTTGCAAGAAATATTACTATTCATAACTGGAAAAACAAATTAAATATTCGTTATGGTTTATTCCGTCGAAATTTTACATAAATTATTTAAAATACCCATCGATTTATCATATTTTTTGACCAAAAATATTCCATTTTTTATGATTGCATAAACATGAAATTTAATGAAGCACATCTTGTACAAAATTCAAATTTATATACTATATTATATCCTACTCATTTTTTTAGACAATGTGTATTGATTTTTTGGGGGGGAAAGGGGGGCAATGAGGACAACGAATTTCGGGCATTTTTTGGAATTTAAATTCTATTTGTCACGTAATGATGTTGTCTCATGAGTTTGAATAAAAGAAAATAGATAAACTAGAAATTACATCAGTGTTATTTCTTTAAAAAAGAATTGGCCAGTTAGTATATTACACACTAAAAATCCATTTAATGATCGTAATTTAATGAATAGCATTAAAATAGAAAAAAATAAAATAAATGTTTTGAGATTTTTTTTCCATTATGAAAAATTCTGGGCCTAGATTATAAAAAAAAATTTGCACCGAATCGCGAACAGACTATGGCCAAAAAACAATTAGAAAGGTCTCAATTACTTTAAAAAAACAGCTGGTTCCAAAAATATGTCACAAGCTTGGGTTTTAATTTTTTTATTTAATCTCAGTTGTTTAACCAGAAAAAAAATTGTGCCCGAGGAAGTCTCTACTCTAACCATAAATAATAAAAAAATTATTCCTAATAATTTTCCAATGTTGAAAGAAACGTGGTTCATTAAATCTCTGAGCAACATTTCAATTGGTATATTTAAATATTATATTGGATAGGAACTATTTGAGCGAATTCCCAATTTAGGCAAGGTTTATGGAAGTGGAAAGGATTCTTATTTTATCTATTGTGGGAAGCGTTTAAGCGAAATTTCTTTTCTGGGATAAAAATTATCGGTCCCTCTAATTCAAATCTCAAATTCAACAGGTTTTACTGGATTTGCTTTGCTATTTTGAACATGTAGACAATCAATAATATTCAATTTCCTCATTTTATATTTTTAATAAATTCAAATCTTTTTGATTGGCCAATCAAAATATTATGTGGAAATGTGAGATCATATTAGATATACTTACCTTATTAAAATATCAATTTAATCATATCATATAACAATCAAGCCAAAATGCCTTTTGTTTAATCCTGGCCAACAATTACTTTTCCATTTTCCTAAAACTTACGGAGCTGGTTCCTATTTCTGCGTCATAGTTTCCTTTCTCTCATATCGTTATCACTATCAAAGACCTTTTTCGCTATATAATCTATCTATCACTCCATAGAGTATTTTTGTTTCTCTGGAAAAAGGAAAAAATAACCGTTTGTTGTGTGGTGTTCGTTGCTGGATAGTCATAATCCGATTACTGACTAGTTTTTGCCTATTCACTGGAATTATCACCTTTTAAACAATTTGTGGTAAACCCATTTTAGCTTTTCCTTATTTTCATGAATAATTTCTAATCTCAATGGATATGAACATATTCTCAATTAGTTCTAAGTAACTATCAAGGCTTACATTAGATGTTAAACTTAAAATTAGCCACCACCCACCCTTAAAGTAATTAAATTATTTTGGCAGTTCATGGGTATAGGCTTTTGTTTTGCCCATTTCTTTTGTTGATTAGCCTATAGACGTTTAAGCGACAGTTCTCGGACTGTTGCGCGTACAAGTACGTGCGGCTTGCCCACAAACGTGTGAAGGGCTCCTCATTTTTTTTCTCCCCTAAATTAACTATCCAGTTTGATGGATTTTGAGGAAAACCTAGCGTAGCTCTGTTGTATCCACAACACGCTTTTATCACCGTATTCATAAAATATTCCAAGTATATTTTCGAATGGTCCTATTTTTAAAAAAATTATAGCTTTACGAAATATTTTTTAAAAAATAGAAGAATTAATTAAAAGTTGGAGGGATAATTAATTTTGGTTTCCTACAAATCTCATATTAAAGTTTATTTGATTTTATTATTTAAATCAAAAAATCGTTATTATTTTTAATTTCTCATTATATCTAGTAATATAATATAATTAGCATATTACACCAAAATGAAGGGATTATTCCCGATAGTGTATAACGCGAATAGGAACAATTTTTAATTACATTACTTAGATTATATTTATTTTATTATTATAAACTCTATAAAAATATATGGAATTTAATGCGGACTGATTATAACTTTAAAAAATTGTGTAATTCTTTCTTATTGTTATATGCTAATTACGTAAATTTAGGTTGATATGTTGAGCAACGTGCCGTTTTGAATGGCAAATATTAAATTTTAAATGCTTAAGGACCCAGAAATTTCCTCTCAAATTAGACTTATTCAAATATTTAAAATGATTTTTGTAAATACTTGAAAAAAAATATTATTTAAATAGACAGGTATAAATCTAAGATTGTAAATGTCTGAAATGTATTTCCATTAAAATAAAAAAAACCATTAATGGAGATTTAAAATTTATAGTTGAGAATTGAATTATAAGATGATTTTAACAGAGACTTTACATAAAAATCATATGTTGACACTTTCCATAATTTTAGGCCCGTTTTTTTCCATCCTATGCAGTGGGGATTGGTTGTTTCTCTTATGCCAATGAACTATAAGAATATATTAATTTCAAAGGTTTTAATATATATCATCTTCAGGTGGTAAAGGTAATTGATAAATGTAAAAAATATAGAATATAATATTTTAAAAAATTTTTCATTGATACTTTTAAAGCTCAAATACCTATATTTTCATTGATTTATAAATATAATGTATTTAATTTATATCTGAATAAAATAAGAAAAATCTAGGACTAAGAAGCAGTTGTAGCCATAAGATTTTAATATAGCTTAAAGATACTTTTACACATAAGCATATCCAGGATTTTGCCAAGAGAAGGGTGAATTGTCCCCATAAATATCATTGGAGATTTGTAGGTCCATTTATTGTTGGCCTTTGACCATATTAGATTTTTATAAAAATAAATTTGGGTTTTCATTTATTTAAGAATAAGAATACTAAAATTTTGAATTATGTTATTATTTTAAAGGCTATTAACTTTTACTAATTTTTCTATCAAAATCAACATTTTTTGGGGAGAAGAGTGTATGTATGGGGAAATTTTTTTTAGCTTAAAATGATATTTATGAGAACAAGCAAATTTGTGTTGGGGAGGGGAGGGTTTCTCCCTTTTCCCTCACCTTGGTTTATTGCCTGCCTCTTCCAATAAAAATTATTCAAAAAAATAAGGAAACATTTTAAAACTTGAAAATATAATTTCTTTTATTTAATAAGAATAAGACAGCTAGATTTTTTTGGAAAAAAAATTAATTAAATTGATAAATTTTATATATTTGTAAAAATTGATAAATAATTCTTAATAATATATGAAATTTTGGCAGAAGCTGATAACATATAAAGCTAAGCTATGCCAAGTGTTTACTTTTTTTAGTAGTTTTAACTACTCAGTTACATTTATTTAAAAGTAGCTGGTAGTTTAGCGCAACTAACATCATCAATAGCTAACATATATAAAACATTACTTCAAGGTCCACAAATGAAAGGTCAGAGGCAATATTTAATCTAACGCTATGAAGAATTTGCTATTAAAACTAGTTTGGACAAGGATAGTGATATTAAACATGAAGTATTAACTTTTCCCAAAGATAAAATAACTGATGTGTTAAATAATTAAGTAGATTTTCTTGTGATAATTGGATCTTATTATATTTATTATTTTGTGGACAAAATTTTCTAAAAAAATAGGAGTAGATTACCAATATCCAGTATTCATAATTTTGAGATAACAGATTTTAATAAATGTTTTTTAGTATATTTAATTGTTCTTTCATAATGTTTTACTTTTGATTTGAAGTTTTATGGTTCAGATAACTATTTTTTTCTTATTTAAAAATAAACATTTATTTTATTGGGGAAGGGGTCAAATGGCCATTTGGCATTTTTTTAAATAGGCCAATGCATTATTATATTGCAGTGGTAAAATAGTCATCCAGCTGCTTCTATGAGAAATAAATTTAATTGACAAAGATGATTACTTTAGAAAATTGTCACTAAAAAAATATTAATTATTTTTTACATCTTGGATTAGCATATAATAAATGTATGTATGCTATGTAGGTAGTTGATAATTTTCGTGTTTATTCATTTCTTTTTTTAATGATTCTTGCATTTATACATTATGTATCCAACTAATAAATTAATTTTTATTTAAATAAAACTTTAACTTTGGACATACCTAAATTATTTTTTGAGATTTTTATTTGAAGGTAGCTTAATAGATCATATAATGTTTACTCTGTCTATGAATAATAGCTATAACTAAGCTTCATTATACCCACAGCAGCATGTAGCTCTAGCAAGGATACATTTTTTTGAAAGTGCTTCCAATTGTATCCATCCTTGTTAAAGTAATAACTTTTATTAAAAATCGTTATCTTTAAGAAACCAACAAATTTATTTCGTACCCAGATATAATTTATAAATATTATACAATTATATTACATCAATATACAATATATAACATTACTTGATAGTGCTACAGATAATAGGAATAAAATCAAAAAATATTCCATGCTTTATAAATTTTTGAATATTTAAAATTATTCATCAAATAATGACGCACAAGAAAACTAAAATACAATAAAGAAATATCATTACAGATAAATAAAAGAATAAACAAATCATAAAAAGTATTTAAAAAATTATATATTTATTTTTAATTAGACTTTATGTAAATATTAAATATTTTGTTTTGAACAGGCCAATTGTTAGTTATATAGACAATCACAATATTATATTAGAAAACCCCAGCTATGCTGAAAGACCGTAAAACGGTTAAGTTCCCTGGCAAGGGGAGGGGGATAACCTCATGGGTTGGTGTTATTTATTTATCCATTAATATTATTAGTGTTTAAATGCATTAAACTTTTTTTTCAGGCATTTTTTGCTAGAAACCTAACTCATCCACTGAATAAAAATTTTCTTTATTGCTATGGCGTTTAAGATACAAAAGGTTTTTATAAAAATAAAATAACAAAAAAATAATATATAATTTTATTTTAATAAAACGAAAAAATAAAATATACTTTAACAATAGTATGTATATATATTTATAAAATGCATTAACGATATATCAATTAACATATCCTTGAGTAAATTATATCCTAAAACAAAATAAGAATTTGTTCTTTGTACAATGTTTATACATTAAAGTTACACAGTAGAATTGGGATGGGAAAAGGAGGGTTAATAGGTAGTCTTTTCTGTAAAAATTCGCTAATAATTTTTAATTCTAGTTATAATATAATTAAACTAACCTTTTTTATTAAGATTTCGATATGTTGTATAGAATTATTTTATAATTTAGATTTTTATTATTTTCACAGTATACTTCTTACCCATGATGCCTTTGGACTTATTAAATATAGGGTGCTAATTGCTTATTGAAATCAAAAAGGGCCCCCGTCCCACCCACGGGATCAAAAAAAGATGAATATTACTTATTTTTATGATAAGAAAAATAATCAATTAAATTATTAAAAGATTATATTAACATAAACATAGATATTTATATATAACTATCAGGAAATATGAAATCGCGGCCCAATTCTGGAGAATATTTTGGTTGACAGGAAGTAAGACATAGTGGGGTTGCCCCCGTTTTTTTAATATGTCATAAAATCGGATTTTGTAACACGATTAAAAAGCTATTTACATTGTAAATCATAAGATGTAAGAACATTTAGAATCTGAGATAGAGCCCTGTACTGGCTGTCCGAAGCCTGACTCGAGCCTCTATCTCGGACATAGGAGACTTTTTCTTCAGGCTATAAGCTCGAAAATTAATTATAAATATCCTCATTAATCATATTGTTTTATCAAAATATTAATCAGAATCCCATGTCATTCTTCAACTAGCACATTTTACTTATTCATTTATCTATTTTTTTTAACAATTTCCTGTGGTTGTGTTGTTAGTTAAAACTCTATTACTTACACACAGCATATTCTGTCAGGTTAAATAATTATTGCCAACATAAAATTTGGAATATTAATTAGTTATATCAATTATGAAATATTTTCATCTGATAATTTTTGTCATACCTAAAATCTATTCAAAAATTTTTTTAATTGGGCTCGGGTCAGACTGGAACAAAAAATTTGTGCTCGAATTTAAGGTGGGCTTGGACCAATTTTTAAATTCGGGCTCGAGTCGAGCTCAGGCCGCAAAAAATTTAATTTGCAGGTCTCTAAGTATAGACACTGTACAGGTATCCATACCTGAACCAAACCATCTAAATACTTGTATTTTTTATCCGCCCTAAACTGTAAAAAATTTTTAGCCGAACCTGAACCGAACCGCTATAATGTTTCTGAAATGGTTCGAGTCTCACAATTTTATGCTTATAAAATAATGTGTAAGTTATTACTAGTATATTGCAAAATTTTTAATTATGTTTGAATTGTTTTAAAAATTATTATCAATCACATTTGATTGATAAGTATCAGTCATTTTTTATAAACTTTAGTATATTGCCATTTTACAACATTTTTCAAGCTTATAAATAATAATGCCTAGAGAAAAATTAAATCCAATATATAAATTATTTACATATAATATTATAAATGATACATCAAATCTGATATCATACTGACAGTGTCGGCTACCCAAGTTAGTGTGGAAAGAGTTTTTCAACAATTAAATTTATATTATCTCCTTACAGATATAATTTTAGTGAGACGAATTTTGAAAATATATTAATTGAGCGACTTAATAAAAAAATTTGAAGTAATTGTTTATATTAAAATTAATCATTGATATTTATTTGTTATATTTATAAATTAAATATCATTTTTGAAAAGAATCATGATAAACGTGCCAGTATGTAAAAATATCTTTTATTATTATTAACTTTATTATGTCTGTTTCTTTTTCTTTTCTTAAGGTATATATACATTTTCTAAAATGTAAATTAAAATATATATAAAAAACAAAAAGTAAGATTACAAAAAATAAAAAGTAAGGTTACGAAAAAATAAAAAGTAAAGTTACAAAATTAGATTATAAAAAGTTGGTATGCAAAAAAAACAAAAGTAAAAGTAAGGTTAAAAATTAGACTATAATGTAACATTCTCCCTCTTCTGAAAGCCTTCCCAAAAATTCATCTGAGAAGTCATAGAGAGTTTGTTGTCCAAATAGTTAATCGTTTTGGTAATCAAGTTGTATCACAAATCATCATAACGTTGGCTTGTCCCAATCGTTGGTTTGTTTAAATCGATTTTTCACGTTGGTTTGTTTAAATCGCAAGCTTGATATCTTTATCGTAAGTTGTCTTCATTAATCATAGCTTGCTTGGTAGTACTCAGTTGTTATTATTATCATTTTTAAAAATTGTTATTATCATCAGTAAGTTGCGAATAATAAGAAATAATAGTTCATCATATTGGATATAAGAATAAACGACGAATGATAAATCAACAAGATTGTTTTATAATATTTTCAGCGTTTTAATTTTTTGCGTTTTATTATAAGCGTTTTAATATTTAATTTACTTTATGCAATTTAATATTTATTTTATATTTTAAGTTATGTAGTCTTTTAAATTATCAGGTTTTTGTTTAATTCGCACAGGTCTAGAAATAGGTGTTATATCGTTATTATCAGTAATTTTTATATTTTTGTCCACACTTCCCTCCTTAAAAGAATCCTTAGAGTCATAGTTGATAATTGTATTAAAACAGTTTCTAATTCTTATTTGATCTAAATGTCTCCTCAAAATACCTTTCTCTGTCTTAATTTGGAACATCATGTCACTTTCTTTATGTGTGATCATGCCTTTGCACCATTTATCAATACCTTGTACTTTATACCAAACAAAATCTCCTACATTAAAAGTTCTATTACGTGGTAAAGTAACGTTTATCTTATTCTCCTTCTCCTCCAACGGTTTTAATAAGTCCCATTTAATTCTAATATCTCGATTAAACATTCTCTGTGAAGGTGTAACACCTGTAGTATCATTACGCGTATCTGTAATTAAATAAAAATTTGCCAAGTGTGATATCTAGGTCAATTTTAATATTCCTTTTCATATGTGTTTTGAACGTTCTCACCATGCGTTCTACCTGGCCATTGGATTGCTGGTGATAAGCAGATGTAAGCACATGTTTAATACCAAAATTGTTGCAAAATTTTTCAAAATCGTTACTCGTAAAGTTAGTGCCGTTATCAGTAACTATAGCTTCAGGTATTCCATATAGCGAAATAGTTTTAAAGATTTCTTTTAAAGTAACATCAGTCGTAATATTTTTAACAGGAATAATAATTGGAAATTTGCTGTAGGCATCGACTATTATCAACCAATTTTTTGTGAAAAACGGACCCGCATAATCTATATGTATCCTTTCAAACGGTTTGGTAACCGAAACCCATGGTTTTTGTATCTTTATAGGATTATCATGATATATGTTACAATCGTCACAACTTTTCACTTCCATTACTATATCATTATTTATACCAGGCCACCCCATGTAATCTTTGGCTAAGGATTTTATTTTTCCTGCTCCCAAGTGACCTTCATGTAATGACTGTAGTATATTTTTTCTCATAGAAGACGGAATTATGATTCTGTTGCTTTTGTAAAGACAATCCTTAATTATACTTAATTCCAATTCAATGTTTTTATAAATGTATTCATTATAGGCCTGTTGTTATTAATATCATTTATAACTTGTTTTAATTCAATATCTTTCAAAGTTTCATCTCGAATTTGATTAAAATTAATAGGTATAACTCCCCATATTCATTTATTATAGTGATATTTTCAATAGTTTCATCATGACATTCTTGTGGTAATCTCGAAAGACAATCAGGAACAACATTGTATTTACCGGCTTTATACTTTATATTAAAATCATATCCTCCTAATGTAATATTCCACTTCTGGAGTCTTATGGTACTATTATCCTTAAGACCCTTAGTAAAGATGTGAACTAGAGGCTTATGGTCAGTAATAATTGTAAATTTTGTGCTGATTAAATATTCCTGGAACCTTTTTATAGCGAACATAATGGCGAGAGCCTCACGCTCAATATTGGTACAGTTCATTTCAGATTTTAATAAAGTTCTCGACGCGAAAGCTATTGGTTTTTTTTTACCGTCTTTTTCAATATGAAATAGTACAGCTCCTAAACCACATTTCGATGCGTCAGTGGATATCCCTATAGGTAATTCAGGGTTAAAATATGTCAAAGCAGCAGGAAGACTAATCAACTTCTTAAGATCATTAAAACTTTTAGAGTGTTCAAGGTTTCAAGCCCATTTTTCTTTGTTGACAATCTTATATAGAGGATCAGCAATTTCTGCAAAATTGTTCAAAAATTTTCTATAGTAGCCAGCCATTCCCAGAAATGTTGATAATTCAGCAGCTGATTTTGGTTCTGGCATATTAATTATTGCTTCAATTTTGTCGTGATTAGCATGAATCCCCTTAGCGTCAATATCATGACCCAGGAACCTCACTTCGTTTTTAAAGAACATACTTTTATTAAAGTTAGGTATTAGCCCAAACGATGATATTCTATCAAATACTTTTTTTATGTTGTTAAGGTCG